GAGCAGGTGAACTAATAGATGCACATGGAGATGACCAGATGGGGGAGTTTATCTTTTACAGAGATGAGAACAATTGCGCTTAACGTATATGTAATTTGCTGCAAAGAACGTCTTACTGACTGATTTAGAGAGACGATTTTTTTTAGTATATTTGAAGCTTGATCACCTTTGAATTCCAAGTTCATGAATAAGGTTTTCTTTGGAACTGAGTCGGTGACCAGTTTTCAGCAAGAGTATCCATCAGTATTTTATTTTCCTTCTCTATAACATCAGCTGTACAAATACGCTGAATTCTCGTGAATAAACATTTCACCAAACCTCTCTTATACTGTAGTAGATAGAAGCTGTGAAAATTTAAATATTGCCGTGTCCAAGTAGACTTTCTATAAATTCATCGCTTTATTGAGCCATCGTCTCTCCAACTCAGAAGTTTCTCTAAAAATCCAAGCTGGTTGCGACTTTCTTCCTTGCATGTAAGAGTAGACAACTCGCATCTTTATGATCATCGTATATCAAAGTAATGTCATCAATTGAGTAAATTATTTTCAAGTCTTAACCCATCTACCTACCTTGGCAATCCTTATCTGATTTTATGAATAATCAAACGTAGTGTTAATTATTCTTATTATTGTTAAATCCTTTTTATCACTGTTTGTATTTTAACTGGCCTTCATTATTTTCCATGCTCTTTATGACGCGCCAAGTCTCTGATCCGTATGGTGAGTAGCACTGACTTCACATTGGAGTTGAAAATTCGGATCTTATTTTTGATGCTGAGTGTTGTTGACCTCCACACAGGCTTGAGAGTAATGAGAGCTTGTCTTGCTTTTCCGATTCTTGCTTTGATATCCTCGTCAGTTCCTCCAGTAGTTGAAACGATGCTTCCCAGGTAGGTAGGTAAAAGAGGTTGTTTCTTTCAGGTTCAGGCTGTTCTCTTGGGTAAGTGAAAACTAACATTGTGTTACATAAGTACCTTGTCGTCACAAACTTAATAGTCTCGTATAAGAATGGAATAACTATGGTGGTACCATAATTAAAATTTGACAGATAACTCTTTATGAGTGATAATAATAATAATAATAATAATAATAATCTACTTTATTCAAAAAACAGTACTTATAATACAGAATTGAATTCTCAGCATTTGTCACAATATTGCATCTGATTTACTCAAAATATAAATAAAATTAAAAATTAAAACAAAATTAACCAGAGGGATTTCTCCACGTTTACGATATAAAGTCAAAAATATTCGAAGCAAGAATTGAGGATATTAAATATTATAGTAATAATAATAATAATAATGATAATAATAATACTGACTTTGTTTCAAACGGTATTGTCGATTCAGTTTGGAAACTTTAGCATGTTATATATTGTTGAATCTAATGTTCTCTTGATATAGTGTAGTGAGGGGAAATGCAAAATTAACAGTTATAACACAGCTTAAATGATGTTCACACTTATGAAAAAATAAACAAATAAAAACAAAAAATTGAGAGGATTATAAATATAAGAAGTACAATACCAATAAAGGTTGATGTTGTAAGAGTGGAGGAAATGGTTTATTTAGTAGTGCAAAGAAGGTTAGTTAGTTCATGTCTAACACTATTTTCATCGCATAAAATACGTGCCGCCAAATATGGTATAGTGAAATTTTTATACTTAGACGTACGTGCATAAAGTCTTCTGAAAAGACTTCTTGTTTCACCTGAGGAGACACAAGGTTGGAGCTGCGGGTGCTGCGGTGGATGCTCACAGTCTGACGAAATTCCTTTAGCAAATTTGTTGCATGAAATCAAGTGCCTGTCAATGACGATGTCAGCGATATGGCCCAATGGGATACCACTTACCCTACTGACTGACAGTCTTCAGAGTTCTACGAAGCATGACATAGTCTTCCTTAAGCAATCCAGGAAGGAGAGAATAAGGATGAACAGTAAAGAAGAATAGGTATGATGCACGAGTTGACAAACTGTAGTAGGAGGAGGGGTTGAGTTATGCCTGAGTGCCTTAACTTCTTAATGTAAAAAGTCAGACAAAATACTTTTTAGAAATCGCTAAGACACGCAAAGACCAGGATGTGTGTGTGAGGGATGAGATTGTTTTTCGAAATGTGTTGCGCAAATATACATCACATCACATCACATCAAGTTTTTCAGATAATCTCCGTCTTCTAATAACAACACTATCCGTGTATATAAAAGCGATTAATTGTTCTTTTAAATGAAATCCCTTTCTGTTTTGTAGAAATGCTTTCATCCGCCTATTCCAAAAGATATTGTCTTAAGTATGTTTATACGTGGTTCATCGTTGGTGTTCGCCGCCTACAATTTGGTCTATAATAGTATGGAGAAACGTTGGGAGGTGTTAAACCGTTCAAGTGTAGGTTAATGATTTTATTTTTAACTATATATACTACTCTCATTACGGTAATTTATACGACATGATTTAAGCGAATAGATAGGTATTATTGATATAAGCATGAAACTTGGCCACTGTGGTAGAGTATAACTCCATAATGGTTAAGATTTGTTATTTTGATAAAATCACACAAGTGTGTTGTACAGTAATATTAACTGATGACCACGTTTCGAGCACAAATTATTGCCACTCATAATCATATCAAGGCACTCACACACACAACTTTCTTGCTTCATTTATATACATGAGTAAACATTGATGCGATTAGACATTTGAATAAAATCAGTATAAGATGTTAAAGTACATTCAGAAATAATAATATTAGTGTTATCAATCAAATACAATAAGATGGGAAATAAGATGCTTTTATAATGTGGATTGAATGCATTTTAAGATTATTTATTATCCTCCTCTGATTTGACTGGTGGTAGTAATATCTTCCATATCTCTGGTATTTGCGTTGAATCATTTCTGTTGCACGTGTTGGGTGTTGACTCTAGCGACAAGCATTCAGTAATCAACGTCTCTCTCTACCTACCTAAATTACTTTTTTAGAATTTTGACTCTATCGCACCCACCCTATTGTGTGGTTGTGTGTTGATGCATGCAGTGCGATTGCCGAGTGTTTTTTCTAAATTACTTATTTTCATACGATCAATCATTCTAACCTTGGCTAAATTCTTATGTTCTCATAATCTCACTACCCTCGATCTACTAGTTTGACCTATGTAGTTGACTTAATTCGCAGTCATTGCAAGGCATTTTGTAAATTATATTATTTTGTCTAATTGGGTCCACTCGAAACGTCATCAGTTAATTTTATTCTACAACACTGTTTGATTTATCAAAATAAAATCTTATCTATAATGAAGTAGATACGTAATTTCGGTAGATTTTAATCAGTCTCTACGGTTTTTTTTATTCCTTCACGTTCCCAGCGGAACATAGGGCACATTCAAGCTAGAGGCTTGAATTTTCTCTAGCAGTGTTTATTTTTACAGGATGGGGTTGCTAGCCTCATGCCCAACCTTTCTTCTTTACCAGCTTTATTACTGGCTTAGCGAGGTAAAGGAGTTCGTCGGTGGCCGGGGATCGAACCCCGGACCATGTGTATGGTCGGCGAGTGTCCTAACCGCTGTGCCACCGACGCACGTCTTTACTGTTACATAATAAAATTCGACTTTGTCAACTCCATTAAAAATCTCAATTTGAACAAAGAAAGGAGAAACATTGGCGCAGAATAATCTGGATCCATCTTATTTCCTCGGTTCTCATCAGCTGCGTACAACCTGAATTATTTAATAAAGTATAAAAGTGTACACTTTTAACAAACTTTTGTCCATTAGCAAGCATATTGTCATAGCGTCATAGTGAAATAAGGCATTGCGATTTATAAAGTGTCTAAAGTGTTACTATATATATATATATATATATATATATAGTGTCTGTCACGTTATAACGCGTGTGAATTGGCAGAAGTTGGAATTCATTGGACTGACCATTGGATTGGGTCGCGTGGGCTATATGGCCTACAAGGTCGCCTTATAACCAGAAGGTTGCAACCTGACACTGGTTAACTGTAAGTTATGAACACTTAAACCAATGAGTTGTGTATCTCTCTCCCTACCTACTCATAATATGTGGATTACTCATCTGTGTTTCATAAATACTCACGTCTATAATTATATGCATCTACTTATTGTTTCTCATTTGTGTGCTTGCCGTTTTTCTTCCTTTTTCACAGATTGAATGTGTCATCCCTCGGTTACAAGAAATTTTATCTCAGTTAAATGCAGCAATGAATACACTAATGTATTTAATGAATAAACAATTTATTGTGTAATTCCTTTTTGTTTTCTGTTTTTCTTTCGTTGTTGTTGTTGTTGCTCAGACTACATTTTTATTTATGGATGAGTGTTGTTGCTGACTAACTTTCAATTTACACCCTTTTCGACATTTTCACTTGTCCACGGACGTTTCGGAATCAACCCAGCCACTATAATCAGTCCACCCTATGAAGAGAATTAGTTATGAACAGTGATGGTGGATTTTGATGACTTCTATTTTTTGTCTTTTTCTTTGATTATCGTACTGTGATATCTTATTATTCTCGCTGTTGTTGTTCCCCTTGGTGTTCCCCTTCCTTCCTTCCTGTTGCCTGCCTCTTCTCGAAAAAGCATAATAATAATAGTAATAGTAGTTTTAAGAGTAGGTAATTAGGATTTTTATTGATCACTGATTTAGCCTATTTACTTGTATTTGTATTTTAACGTATCAATATTTCTTATTTTATTTCTTTGCATGTATTTCAAAAAGTTTTAGTTGGTAATTTTAACTGAAGAACTTTATATTTTACTCTATTATTAATATTATTATTACTATTATTAATTATTTATAATATACATATATATATGCGCATTCAATGTACAATTGTTTCAGTTGGCGGTTTGTTTCTATTCGTATTTATATTCCCCACACACACACATATACACGCACACGCACACATTTTGATTTAAATGCATACAACTTCGTTGTTGTCCATCTTGGTGTTGTTTTATGTCTCCAAAAGTCTACCGTTATTCGTTTGTAATTCGACATATTGGCAGTAGAAATGATTGAATTGGTACCAGCTGGTCAATAGGCTAAAAGGTAGTAAGATTAAAGGAAGCAATAAATAGGGACTATATCAAAGATAGATTTATTTATCTACAAAGAAAAGAAAGTATCCTCTTCGCTACACTTGTACAACTGGTAACGTGTAGATGTCCACTGCATTCACTCCTGCTTCTGTGAAGTTCATTGTTTTTTGGCAACCTGTTTTTGCTTGTCCTTTCTAAATGAGTTAGAAAACACTAATCAGTCGTTTCTGGGGTTCGATGCCTAGCTGACTGACTCCTTAACCTCGCTTAGTCATCACTTAGTCATTTTAAGAGAGAAACTTCTAAGCTCCTTCCTAGCGTGAAACGTAAAGGAATATAATAGAAATAATTACTCACTACTCTGTTTGGTGGAAAGAGATGCAGTTAGTATGGTTAAAAGTGGAATAATTCAATATTTGGTATAATATCTCAATCGTGTCATTATTTAAAGTTATTTAGAGAGTGAATATAGGTCTAGAGAAGACTGTCTGCTTTGCATCACAAACGTTCTGCTCTATATGCTTGCAGAAGTCGGATATATGGTTACGATTAAGGCGACTGATTCAACCTTTTTATCTACAATAGACCTAATTTTTCAAAGGACTGATTACTGAACAAAGAATATTCACTTTTTCGATAACCTGCTCTTCATCAGGTTCTACAGTTATATATCCATCCATAATAATGAAAGAATTGACGTTGTGTTGAGAACTGCAAGCCAAAATTGTAAACAACAATTTACATCAATGTGTATGTCCCGACTCGGGGTCATGAGAAACAATAAAAAAGCCTAACCTTGAAGAACTCAACAACCAATCACAGAAGACAGTGTGTGCAAATACGATTCGCAAATATATGGCTTGACTTTGTATGCAACGGTCACAAGCAGTACAGAATAAAATAAAGTATAATTATATTTCAATAGTTTACACACAATGATAAGTTTTGTTATTGGTAATATTTCGAGCAAAATTACCAATAACAAAACTTATCATTGTGTGTAAACTATTGAAATATAATTATACTTTATTTGATCTAATCCACAATGTCCAAACTTTTTACTGATATTAAGTGCAGGATAACCTTCAGCAAGAAAACAACCAATCAGAAGACGTTGCTTCTCTGCTAAAATAATGAATAGTAATGTACATATAAATATCTGTTGATTTTCTCAATAAACAAACTGTTGCCTGGCTCTTGTCCTCTGTCGTCACAAGGTTATCAATAACGTGAATGTTGTTTAAATAACATTGAATCAATCAATAATATGAATAGATTACAGTTCAGTAGCATCTATAAGTGTAATAATAGGCATCAACATAACACTACACACTGAATATTAGATAAATTAGGAAACATAATAATACTAATAAAACAGAATTCATGAATTTATAGGCTTCACAGAAGGCCAGAGCAGTAATAGTAGCTGATTAGCTGGACCTGTTTCTTCTGCACACACGGATCGGTTGTTGGTTGGTTTGTTGCCAGAGTTTCTTGTTGCTAATTCTTTGTGGTTGGCCATTTGATCTTCAGTATGTAGGTGGTGAAGGCAGCTGTTGATGAAAGTCTGCAATAGACTTTTGGGAATGCTTATTGTGACACTCAATGCAGGTTTCTGACCCCTATGGAAGAAGTGACTGACTTAACATTGATGTTCTTGCTCGAATGCGAATCTTGTTCTTTGTGCTGAGTTAGTAAAGAAGATTTCCACACTGGTTTCAGGTTGATGAAGGTGTATCTTGCCTTTCCGATTCTGACTTTGACACCTTCATCCGTTCCGACTGCCTGTAGTTGAAACGATGCTTCCTGGCCAGATAAGTGAAAGAGGCAACCTCTGTTAAATCTCTCCCGTTGATTGTGATTGCTGCTGATTATTGTCGTTTGCTGTCGGTTGGTTATCTTCATCACCTCCGTCTTCTCTATATTCACCCGCAGTCCTGTTTTTGCTGCCTCTTCAGCCAGTTTGTTGGTTTTCGCCTGGCCGTAAGTCTTCGAGTTTGCGTGACAATACACATAGATCATCCACGTACGAAATCCAGACCTTCTAAAGTCTTCTTATCGGTAGTCCACCGTATTCCTGTCTCCTCGCTCCCCATAGTCCTTGATGTCCGTTCAGAATGAATTTTATGGGTCACACTGTTCAGTACATTATAGTTAATAGCTAAACTAAGTTTGCTTCATTGTCCAACTCACTCAAAAAATATCCATTTAGTTGCTTTAACTAACTTTTCATAATGTCTCCTCGATTGGAATGACACCTAAATCGGAAGCAACGGGTTGGACAACATGGAGAAGATCATTTGCGCAGAAAATTAAAGTTTGTGAACAGTCGTAGAGCCAGCTGAAAGTGTGATGGCACAGAAACTACTGTAATGAAGCTATGTGGTTGAGGCCCTGTATCCCATTCAATGAACGAATGAATTATAATGCCGTGAAATATTGAGAGTGATAGTAGTACAGGTATGCATCGACTTTTAAAAATAACGATTGCGTCATAGCTTCTAATTCTAATTGTACTAAAATACAACTTTCAAGAGTTGGTTTGTAAGGATTAAATTTGTTTTTACGAGTTTGACCACAGATTGATATCAGTTAGAGAACCTGGGAGTACTGGACAGCTGTCTCGTCAGCCTAGTTTGAAAATCATCTACAGTACGCACCCACCGCCAGCTTTCGAATCCAGGACCTTCCGGTTACAATACAATACCCGATTCAATAGTCAGACCATGAATTAGCGTGACCACCAACCAATGTCATCGATGGGAAATCCATCCATTGAATCGGGTCCCAGTGGCTGAATGGTATACGAGCTAGCTTGCCTTGTAACCGGAAGGTCCTGGGTTCAAACCCCAGTGGGTGATTACTGTCGATGATTCCCAAACTAGGATGAAACAGCTGTCTGGCAGTACTCCAGTGCTGGTTTTCAATGGTTCTCTGAATGATATCAATCCGTGGCCAAACTCGTAAAAATAAAATACAATTGTATTGTGAATTAAGAAGTAATAACAAAAATATTTGAATTCAATACAGCATATCTTACATTCATACTTACCGATTGATATTCATCTGAAATGTATACATTGTTCATGTTTTCATTTGTTGTACTGTCTGTATCTAATTCTTCACTGTGTGAAATAAAAAGTAGACTTAATCAATGCATTGTATTCACCTTAATAAATGCTTATTACAATTTTTTTCTATTACATTTCCAGTGGAACATAGGGTGGCTTCAAGCTAGAGGCTTGAAGTTTCTGTAGCAGTGATGATTATTTTTATAGGATGGGATTGCTAGCCTCATGCCCAACCCCTCCCTTCTTTACCTGCCTTACTATCGGCTCAGCTAGCTAGGTTTAGGCATTCGCCAGCCACTTCCATCACAAATTCTGTGCGTTGGTGGTTCAGCGGTAGAACGCCTGCCAGCCACGCATGTGGTCTGGAGTTTGATCCCTGACCGATGCACTCCTAAACTCCACTATTCTCGTAAGTAAGACCAGGAAAGAGCGAAGGTGGGACATGAGACTAACAACCATTCCCCTCCATGAAAAATAGAAAACACCACTGTTACCGAAATTCCAAAACTCTAGCTTGCAGCCTTATGTTTCATTTGGTAAGTAAAGGAATAATTATAAATAATATGTATTCCTCACCTTACTATTTCCATTAAGGAAGCCACCATATACGGATTTATTACAGCAAGTATTGCATATTGACCTGGTTCTTTCAGCTGTAATTTTGGCGAAAAAGAGACATTAATAATATAAGAATTTGACGTCTTTAAAGTATTGCAATGACTACAAACATGATACTAGTTATTTTTAAAAAATGCACAGTTCAAAGAAGGTAGAATATAAGCGTAATTTTTTTTAGAAGTTAATTGGTGGATGATGACTAGCAGTGGAATCCACCAGGATGCGCATTTCGTCCTATTTGGGACTCGTCAGCTAGCTGGATGTTCCTGCATTCCGCAGTGAGTGATGATGTTCCCACCGAGGCTCGAAATGCGCATCCTGGATTCCACTACTAGTCAGTCACCATCCACCAATTAACTTCTAATTACATACCCAGACATCGTCGAAGCATCTGCACAAGAAGCCGGCAGACATGTTAACGTGAGACCGAGCACTTCGGTTCAATCAGTCGATGGGAAAATCTAAAATTGAATGAAATAATAATTTTTAAAAAAAGGGATATGATACTTTATACTCTCAGATATGAACGAAATATCCCCATACTGAGTCATAAGGATAAAGGCGTAAACAGAGAAGAAAATTTTCTTTTCGACGATCCCTTTTCATAAGCTGCTGTACAATCGTAATTATATTTAACAAAGAAATCATAAGACCAATCAGATACTGGTAAACTTTGTCCTCGAAAAATATATTACGTGATGTAAGGTGTAACCTAGAGGGGGTGACTAACTGGAAATTAAGAAAGGAGGCAGAAGTTGGCATGACGTAATAAGTGTGAGATAATGACTAATCAATAAGATTGTGACAAGTGGATAGGAACTAGTGGAAAGACGATAAAGTGTTTTTATATAAAATCTGTACAAAACGCAATGTGATTAATAAACAGTAATAGAGTGATAATAAAATATGGGTGATGTGAATAACAACAATAAAAGGAAGCAAAATTATAGTAAGAACGTTACTATGGCCATGGTAGGGCGAGTGAATGTATGCAGCGCCTGTGAATCCAGAGATCTGGTTTCAGATCCTGAATAGCTAATAATTCATCTATGTACAGATGTCATATGTGAAATCCTTTTTTAATATATTGAGGGACCATGTGTAGCACTGTGAAGCATTCATGCGCTGGGTGCTTGATATCCAAATTTGATAAGGTGTTCGAGGATGGAGCTGCTGCCATTCTTCTTTTCTCCTCTAGCTAACCAAGCTGAACAATGTTCAAGAATACGTTTGTGGACTTGACGTTGAGTACGGCCGATACACCTTGCTCCACACAAGCAAGTTAACTGTTAAATACACATTAAAGTGGCCAAAAGCGGTATCTTATCCTTAACGTTAGATTGAATTAACTGTCTGCTGGAGAATGTCATATGTGAGGTGGCTGCTTGAAATGTCTTCCTCAGATATTTAGAAAGTTGGTTTCTAAGAATTTCTGCTTTAATGTCAGTTTTGAATTCCACGTTCATGAAGAGAGTTTTCTTAGGAGAAGTTGTGATTTTTGGCGACGGAGGCTTTTCTTTTATGTTTTTGTCTATAAATCTTGGTATATACCCGTTCTCTAGTAGGGTTTCACATAATAAATCTAATTCTTTCTCTATGGTGTCTTCCAAACAGGACTTCTTCATTCAAAAGCAATATTTACGTTCACTCTCGCCCTACGGTGGCCAGAGTAACGTTCTTACTATAATTTCTCTTCTCTTTTTCTCAATATAAGCTAACTATTTACCTCTTACATAAACTGGTAGTATTCATAAACCAAATCACTTCTAGGCAGTTCGATATTAATTGGGTAAAATAGCCGTGTGCTTATTTGTTAATGTCACTGATTTTGAAGATTTTAAAATAACCAATATTATGTGTAGTGTCAGATTATCACTCTCTTCGTAATATTTTGACCTGATCTGAAAGTGCTACAAGTGATTTATCTAACGCAAAGGTAATGTCATGACAAAACGGAATGAATTACTTTTGTTTGATAACTCAATGTGTATCGAATCCCATCTATGGTTATTAAAATACATTCACTTCGTTGAATGTGATAGCCTGATTTCAAACTTGTTATATAGACATCATTTGTATTCCCCCCCTCACCACCATCACTACCACTACTTACGATCTTGGAACCCTATTGGTTGTTGACAGTTTTAACTTGTCAATGTAATTAGTGTCTGCGAAGTATACATATATATATATATATATATATATATATGTACGCAAGTACTGTAAACTTTTTCGCTGTTGATTCGAAACAGTAAAAGCTCTCTACGTCAGCAGTCTGTCTTCATGCGCCGCAGATTCGGTGGTATCCTATCATATCGCATTGTTGTTTTTGTTGGTGCTAATATTGATTAGAACAGGATGTTCGTTAGCTCAAACTATCAAGTGTATTAACAGTCATAACAAATTTTTGTGTATTTAGAACACATTGATAAGAACACTGTGATTAGAGGTGTGCTATCGTTGCTTATCACTTGCAACTACTTTTTCCTGCAGAAACATTTATACCCTCTGAACTATTTGAACAAGAAACAGTCATACTTGTGCGTCGGTGGCACAGCGGTTAGGACTCTCGCCGACCATGCACATGGTCCGGGGTTCGATACCCCACCGACGCACACCTGATATCAATGGTTGGCCTGCAAATTCGGGCTACCGATATCGCGTGATGAAAATTCTATACTTGTACCAAAAATACGGTGTGGAATCAAGCTGTAATCGAAATTTTAAAAAATTTAGGGTATTGAAACATTTCCTGAAGAATAGAGTTTAAATGCTAAATTCTGAAATTTCACCCTGAGTGGTTAAGTAAAGGACAAACAAAATCTATTCGTAGCGTTATTCTATCTCATCTTGTGGATACAGAACAAAAGATTGATGTCAACAAGGCAGCTTTCACATTAAAAAGCCTAATTTATGCGTCCAAAAGAAGCTAGTTCAGACATTGTCCTTACCTTGGACATCTAGGTCTGGATGATCCTCAATTTTTGTGGAAATTTCCTTAATTTCAGTTGATATTCTATTTGCTATTATATTTCTATTATTACTATAATTTAAGCATCTTTAATGAACTGTAATTTCATTGTTATCTTACTTAACAAATCGATATTATTTAAAAAACACTAATATTGTTATTGACTGCTATTCTAGAATATTCTATGTATATAAACATGTGCATATAATTGTAGAACCAGAGGAAGAGGAAATTATCGAAAAGGATATTCTTTGCTGACATTTATTTTGTTTTTCATAGATGTCTGAATGAATATTTTCGCTATATTTAAATATTGTTTCTTTTTCAGAACTTTGTGATGTCTTTATTCATTCGATTCCACCATCCGGTCCTACACAAGAGGAGTTCATCTATTCCTTAGTATATGACAGATAACCTGTTTGATTTTGAATTCAAGTGAGGCAGTTAGCATACAAACACTATGTTGATAAGTATGATGCCAGTTAGTTTAGAGAATATTTCCTCAAGGTAGTCAAAATTTTTACCATCAACACTTAATACCAGATAAAGACACAGAGAATACTGATTTCGGCTAACAGTTGATGTATATAATTTATCAATATTATGAGTCATTCATGTTTTTTATGAAGGTCAGCGGAAATGACTCCCAGCTGTGCATTTTGAGTGAAATGACCATGTTGTATTAAGTCGATAACCTCAATCATTACTTAGGATCATATTTCCTCTAAATATCTACCAATTTAAATGCACGCGCGGCCACACATACATGTAAGGAGGACTCATCGATCTTTGCAAGCAAGGGCTGGCTTCAGAGCATATTCCTAAATGGCTTTAGAAACAAATAGATTCCCCGGAACCATTTAATGGTGAGAACAGGCGACCTAATCCCTCTATTGCAAAACACATTATAGAGACAGACAAGTCTTTCGAATCTATCTGTAGAACGTGTTTGGGGTGTGTCCTGAAGTTTGTGGAAGCCCTTGCTAGCAGTTAAAAAGTTTAAACCACCATAAGCCATCACAATAAACCTTCCTTGGTAAACTTTGTTTTGTTTTGATACCACAGCAGATGTACTGTTACCTCTCTTATTTAGTTTAGTGATTGATCTTCATTGTTATTTTGACCTTCAATATGTCCTTTTAACTTGACCTAAGTCTATTTCTCACCTCTTAAATCTTTATCAATTTCGTGCATATTCCTATGACAACTCCGTTTGTGTGTGATCAGATTGTTCGAAATGTGTAGCATGCAAATACATTACATGATTTAGATAAATTACGTCTTCTAATTGCTTCGTCTAAATTTATAAAGGGAAATGACTGTTTCAAATAAAACTTATCTGTAATAAGACGTTTACTTGTCTAAACGTGCCTGATTAACTTACCTTATCATTTTGACAGTTTTTCAACTGGACTTTATCAAATAGACTCATATGTACTTTGTCAACGTAACCCAAATACAAAGCAGCTAGATTGAATCTATGAAGAGAATGCGAAAATAATAATTCAATGAAATAAAGGGTAACATTGTTTCTGGGAAAATTGAATAATAATGAGAACAACAATAATAGTGATCTGCTTTATTCCAAAAACAGTACTTATGTAACGACAGAAGACAATTGCACAACAAAGTAATATAATTTACAAAATGCCTTGCAATGACTGTGAGTCAAGTCAACTGCATAGGTCACACTAAGTAGATCAGGAGTAGTGAGATTGCCTGTCAGAACATAAGAATTTAACTAAGATTAGAATGATTGATCCCACGAAGATAAGTAGTTTAGAAAAGAAAAAAACTCAGCAATTGCACTGCATGCATTAACACACAATCACATAATAAGGTGGGGTGGGACAGAGTCAAAATTCTAAAAAGTGATATGAGTAGGTGGAGAAGAGAGAGATTGATTACTGAATCCTGCCTGGTTCATTGAGTCTACACACCCAACGCAACACATGCAACAGAAATGACTCAATACAAATGCCAGAGATATAGAAGATATTATTATCACCAGTCTGTCGAATCAGAGGAGGATAATAAATAATCTTAAAATTCTATTTCAATTCACATACATTATAACATTCCAACAAGTTATTTATTTATTTTGACTATAAAAACACTCGTCTTGTTTCCCATCATATTGTACTTTATTTATAACACTAATATTGTAACAACAGAAAGCCATACACGGAAGTCAAGGTAAGTATTTTCCACTAATCAAACCACTGTTTATATATGTACAGTTTATATTCTTTAACCAATCACTGAACGTGTGATTTTGGTTTACATTAAACGACATGAAATAGAATGTTCAAACGCATACATATTATTCTGTTGCTAATGCAGTATTGAACTGTGGGAAACGTGTTCTGTGCCTAACATCGAATAGAATGTCCATATATATATAATTTTAATTTTGATTAATTTCCCCTGATGAAGTTAGGACCGGTTTGTTGAACTAAATGTTAGAATTGCTCATTTCAATATCACAGAGATTTTACAAATATAATTTTTACAAATATCTACTTGTCACCTGCCTACCAATTATTTTGGAACAGTTTGGCCAAATCTTGATGACAGTTCATATGAATTTTAACAAAAACTTGAGACATGCTACGACGGCAGATAATAACAAGGATGAAGCTTAGCTTAGGCGCTTCTTACAAATGGACTTGTGCCCATATTAGATAAATGGAAAAATCCTACATCGCTAATGTTCCATTCCTCCCACCCCCAACCACCACCACCGCAAATGTTGAATACCTTCGCCGTCATCCATTAAGGTGATTGACAGTAATTAATATTTTATGAAAGCCTTGAATAGGCTACTTCATTTAAGTATCTCTGTTATCACTAAATATGTAATAACAAGAAATAATAAGACATTTGCAGTTGACTCCATATTACTCCAGTGAGTTAATTAGTTATTTAGATAGACACATAGTCTTCTCATATTTCCAAAATCTACAAATTGATTAGTGAAATTTGTAATTTTTGAGTCCAGATGTGATAAGTATTTAAAAGTCGTTTCGTCCTTGTTTGGACCTCTTCATCAGCACACACGCGTTGATAACTTTTAAACAAATACATCAGTAGTTAACTTACTCATGTTTTCTTATTTTATTCAATATATTCAAAAGAATCTGGTGTTTATTTCTTCTGATATTGTCATCTGTCGAACTGATAGCCTCCCCAGTGGTGTTATATTCATCATAACGGATAATAATTAAGTTCATTTGATTAGATTTCACAGTTGACCAGGTATCTGTAAGATCATTGTAAATCTCAATTGTTGTATTTTCATTGAATTGCTTGATTGAATCAATATTGTCTTGAATTAATTGACTTAACTGTATTGTTGAAGTAGAACCAGTTGATGAGAAAGTAGATAATTAAGTGACAAAACGAAAATCAGAATAAAAATAATTATAATAATAATGTTAAATTCTGTACTATTTATAATAAATCAATAAATGAATTGTGAAGGCCTTATTGTCAGTAGACAAGAGGATTCCTTACAATTCATGTAATTTCCTTCAGAAACTTCAGTCAGCGAGAAAACAGTAGCTCTGTTTTGTATCTTATCATTAAAAAAACCCATCTTTACCTACCGACCTGGGAGGCATCGTTTCAACCACAGGCGGATGGAACTGATGAGGATATCAAAGCGAGGATCGAGAAAACAAGACAAGCTCTCATTACTGTCAAGTCTGTGTGGAGATCAACACTCAGCACTCAGCATGAAAATGAAAATAAGATCCGGATTTTCAACTCCAGTGTGAAGTCGGTGTTACTATACGATCAGAGACTTGACGTGCCACGAAGGGCACTTCGAACAAAACTACAGACTTTCACTAATAGCTTTCTTCGCTCGATACTGAAGATCAGATGGCCGACCAGAAAAGATCAGCAACAGGAATGGATCTCTGGAAATGAGCGAACTAATCCAGCAGAAACCAATTGTGCAACAAATAGGTAGGAAGAAATGGAGGTGGATTGGCCATACTCTGAGAAACCCATCAAGTGAGTTACGTCAAACGCCATGGTTTCTGTCGGATGGAAGCCGATTGGGCAGCAGCGAATTAGTCGTCAGTGAGAGAGTGACATGGAGGAGGTTATGCGAAAACGAGATGAAAGCATGTGGGCAGACGTGGAGACGTGCGGTTGAAGCACCATGTTCCTCTAAGAACTAAAGGAGATAATAATAATTTAGAGATATTTGAAACTACGGTGTACACCAAACATTTATCACCCACTTTCGATAGGTATATGATGATGCTGCCCATCAGAAGTCATTCTCAACGGAAGGTTCCGTGAAGCCAATGACGTGAAGAGAGGAGTAAGACAAGGCTATCTACTATCAACGCTGATATTTCTTTACAGAAAGGTTCGATGAATATCAAAGTTATGTTTCCCAAAATGACACAGAACAACTGTGTCTATAGGATAAAGTGTTGAGAATATGAAGATTACTATGTATACGGGAAAGCAGTATACAAGTGAAGGTCAGAGTGAATGAACACAGGCTGTCTACGAAACCTCCGCCTGGAAATAAATTAAAATTAAGGAGTCTTGAAAAAAGACCAGCTAAAGCAATGCATGCTACAGACAGCGGTGATATGATCGATTTCGAAATTTTAAGAAAAGGCCTTCATTCACATGAAGAAAGGTTGACGTCTGAAGCCGTGTACATTTTAACCACATCGAATGCAATAAATGCGAGAGGTGGTTTAGACTCATCACCTATATGGCAGATTCTAATGAAGCAAAACAGATGAGAGAAAATACAAAAATATTCAATCCTCTGTAAAAATATTATCATGTTGTGACGTGTTTTCCACATGGCAAACAACAAACACACACATTCATACAGAAAAATACGCATGCATGACAATTTGACATGAGTCATTACAGATACGTGATGACTTTCCACGCATTATTCTATTGGTACAAACGTCTACCGACACGTGGTCTTCAAAGGAACTCATTTCAACTTATGTAATATTTTGACTGTATATTCTCATGGTTAATAAAGTTCGGATAATTCTGCTGCTGAAGAGGTTGTGGCAGCTTACACAGTGGAACGTTCAGAGAAATCCTGTTTTGATTTTTTCTTGAATATGTTGGGATTACATTAAATAATTTCTAATGATATTCCTTGTCGTGATGAACAAGATCGTGCAACAAACCATGGAGAAAGAGAAAGATGGGCATACGCACGGTTGATAACAAAAACTCTAGACTATCTGGAATGGTGATTATATATCCAGAAAAGACAAACAAAAGGTAACTCCGCAGCCAAACCCGTGAGGAACCTATCGTCTAACATATATGTAGAAAGAAACGGAGATGGACTTGGCACATATCCTGGAGAGACAATTCAATGACATCCAGTACCAGGCGCTAGAATGGGACCCGTATGAAAATTGTCAGTTCAAGTATGACATGGAGGAGATCGTGTGTAGTGAGAAGATGAAAGTTTGTCAGCAATCCTGTGGCCAACTAAAACATACGTCAGATGTCCTGCTAAAGTGCTTTGTTCCACTCACAAAACACAAGGGAATAATAATAATACCGTTAATTCAAAGGATTAAACCAACCAGTCACTTTTAACGTATTTATTCAATTACAGTCTCATATGTAGATGATTAGTTTAGACACTGATCATCAGTGCGAGCATCCTGATACCACTTGTATTAAACTGAAGATGAATCTATAAGGTACTGCAATTTTGAATAACTGTTTGATTGTTAAAACTATTCGTCACCTCACTTTTCCATATTTTTGTTTATTTCATCTACATGTTTCTATCTTTATTGATTTTCTATTTTGTGTAAAGTGTGATGAGTCTGATTTATCACACACATTAATTTTATAAAGGTAAAATTTAAAATTTACATAATCAGTTATGCTCCATTTAGTCTGCATGTAAATCGTTTTAAACAACAAAAAAGCGCTACAAAAAATCAACTATTCATTGTTTCAATATCAAGCAAATCATTGAACCAGTCTACAATGATTAAATATACGTTTGGTGTTCTGAAGTGTACTCAGAATGTACTATACCTAAACAAGAAGTAGAGAAGACATTCTATTCGTATGTAGTCCCGCTCTCAACTTTGCACTAAACATTCAGTCTAAACCAGGAACAAAGAATCTACCGTTGAACTTTGATTGGTTGACACCCTACTAACCAATCAGAAGACAGTTGCCATAGCGTCAAACCTTGTAAATTATTGGTTATTATAAAATAACTATATAAACAGCTGTATTCTCTGGACATTAGCCTATTTTTATCCTGAAGAAATAAATAACTGCCTTCTCATTCTGTACAGAAGAAATACTAACCAATCTCTAACTAGATTTGGTGGACCCCGCTGGTGACAACTTCTCACTAGAACTCCAGATAACTTAATGTATAGAGCCAGTCACTAGTGGGCATCAAACTAATTACCTATCAAGTATTGGTTTGCAGGGATTTGATTGATTACAAGTTTGGTCACGAGGTGTCACCAACTAGAGGAAAACTGGCCCACATGGTAGTAGCCAGTGGGACCCGCCGAGTCAGATAAGAGATCAGTTACTGGCCTACGACACTGGCTGCAGGTTGCGCGATATGTATATATATATATATATATATATATAGGATAGAAGAAGAAGATAGGACTAGACACATTACACTAGTTACTGACTAGTGCGCAATCGAAAATGTCCAATACAATCCTACAGGAGGTCAATCGCGAGCCTAAATAGCTCAGTAGTAACGTCCCTGACTGCAGCACTCACTGGGTGACGTGGGTTCGAATCTCAGAAGGTACATGAGTTCCTTCGAGACTGCAGATACTCCCTGATGATGAGCGCAAGTTAGCACGAAACCTAGGTCCAAGGCTGAGCTTCCTCCCGATCGCCTTCAACCATCTAATACCAACAATATATACATATATATGGAAGTGACAGAAGTAGGAATTCATGAGCTCTTAGATCGGGTACCAGTGTCCAAATTGTCTACGAGCTCGCTTTCGAACTAGTAGGTACGGGATTCGAACTCCGGGGTTTGAGTACTGCTGAAGAGTCGGAAACTAGAATGAAACAGCTGTCCAGTACTTGTGATCAAAGCTGTAACAAACGAAATCCCTGCAAATAAACACTTTGCAGACAATAACTAAGTGAGGAATTATAAGACTTAGATGGCGTTCATAAAGAGTCAACGAAAAAGATTTTGACTCATATTTCCAACAATTTCAAGCTGTTGGTTCTTAGAATTCCCAGAACGTCAACAAAGCAGTCTACTCATCTCTATGTGGGTTGGACCAACAATCAAACACTTCCAGGATTTTATCATGAGCTGAAAGCAGTTAGAGAATGATTGGGAAACCTATGAGTACTGGGCTGGTTATGATTTGCCTCCTCCCCCCATAAGTCTTTTCTAGACTAATCCTATGTTATGCTAAAATTGCTCGACAAAGAAATCAGTAGCTCAGCATCCGTAGGACGTCTCCTAGCCAGCCTATCGATTGATTTTCATTCTTTATTGACTATTTATTCAAACCTGTTTTAATAAGCAAAAATATAAATCAAAAGAATTCATAGAGTAATGACGACACTCACTCTTTCATGAAATTTAGCCAGTTCACTTTGTACAGCTTCATCATTTAATGGAATTTCAGAGAGATGAAATTCATCAGATTGTTGTAGTTTTGAACGTTGAATATGAATTAATTCTTTTAACAACTGTAATGGTGTTTTATGCATAGATAATATTTCATCTGTTATCCAATTCATTTGACGTAATCGATTAACAGCATTGACACGACTAACTGATAGACAAGCCTCATTAGTTTTTGTTGTATACAAGTTAGTTATGTTAAAACCTGTTCGAAATATTTAAAAAGAACATGCATTTAGTAAAAGCATAAACATTGGAGTGCCAACTAATTATTTAAAGCAGCTTTTATTGAGATACACGCTTAATGTGAAGTTTACACTTAACGATATCATCTGTAATCAAATGGGTTGGATTCACTATGAGGTCTTCTTAAGACCTCCTCTAGTGGAAGTCTTCATGGTGAGCTTAGTGAAGTGGACCACTGAAAGAAACAATCTCGAGTCTGCAAATGTATGGGCGATACATTGACGACATCATTATTATTTATGCTGACAAGTGTTCAACTTCTGAGCTTCTCGGAAAATCTAGTGGTTCCCACCCATCAAAGAAGAATCGAATTCCGCATTTCACTTCTTAGATGTAATGCTAGATAGAAGAGAAGACAGCATGTTGAAAAGGTGAATTTACGGAAAGCTACCATCTACAGGTCAATACGCCAACTTCAACAGTTGGGTACATTTAGGCAGGAAGAGAAATATTATCCGTTCTCTATGCTCCAGAATTTGGAAAATTTGCTCTGTAGACATGCTTGACATAGAAATAGAAAGCCTTCGCACAACTCTTTTAAATAATGGATATCCTAGAAGGTTTATCGACAGAAACATCAAGAAAGACGCCATCCCCAGCGACATTACAGGGCCAAAGAAGACACTGTCTAGGAGCTTGGCGTTCAAAGGTGACAGTATTTCTGAAGTAATTAAAAGTCGTTTATCTAAATGTATTAAACGCTCTCTTCATGCAGTTGAGTTACATTTAGTATTTGCCAACCGAAATATGATTCGACAATGCTCCAAGGATAAACTACAGTTTATGGCCACCTCTGAGTGCATACACTCATTCTCATGCTCTTGTAGAGCTGACAACATTGGACGTTGTAAGTGTGTTCTCCGTAAGCGCAAAGCTGAACACTACCACCCTGTTCGGTTAATGAAAGGTGAGCATATGACGGCGAAATCTTCAGTTTGTGAACACCTTGTGGAGTCAGGTCATTCAGCCCAAGTGGTTTATCCTTCAAAGTTATTGACAGGACCAAATTTAGCCACTCTTAAGGCTTACGTTTTCTCCACTTATGCATAACCGAAGCTATAGTTATACATGGATAGAAACCTAAATTATATGTTCAAAAACGTTTTGTTAAACCCCTTTCTCCACCTTGGTTATAGTAATGTTCTTCTATGTTACCACTTGAATTCATTCCACTTCACCTCACCTTCGCCATCTTTATTGTTATCATCAACTTACTCTTAAATTTCTTGAGACAACACTTGACCTACAGCTTTAAAATCTTTATACCAATTCACTTATTTAATAATCTTTAAAACTTTTGTAATTCATGCATTTCAACTCTACCCTCTTGGTACATCATTTTAATTATCTTCATTCTTATCATCATATGTGCAATATTGACTGAGCAGTTTCTAGTGAAGCCACTTAATGCTCTCCGTCTCCGTAATATAAATACGACTGTACAGTTAACTTGAAAATGAAGTAATTGAAAAGAAACAGTATTTCTTCGCTGAAAAAAGCTGTGTTTTTCCTTATCATTTAAAATTTCTTTCAGAATTACAACTCTGTGCGACGAGTAGCTCCATGGCAACTTCTCCAGTATATACTACTTTAATCTACTGTCATCAGTAGTATACACAGCACCACCCATCTTTTAGCGTAAGTAGTCTTTTTCCATTTTATAATTTCGTCTATATTATTTCGACCTAATATTGAAAGAATCAGAGGCTGTGATAAGTGAACGAGACACTCCACTTAATATATGCATAATTTATCATGAGTTATAATAAGACAAGAGGCAGCGGAAACAGGACTCCAAGTGAACATAGAGAAGACGGAGGTGATGAAGACAACCAATCAACAGTTGCAGTTCGATCAGCGCATGATTAAATTGCAACTCTACGAATCGTCATCCCAGAACAAAGCATAGAATGACAGTCAAACCTCTGCCTCAACTTCATCGAATTAGAAATGGCCTTCAACTGACAGTTTTGACCGAGAAGTAATTTGAAAACTACTTCAGCACTACGGCGTGCAGTACTGGAGTCCTTATCAACCTCATTCAACAGCTATATGGCAATGCCACGTGTCAGGTGATCCCCAAGAGAAAACTCACTGAGGTGTTCGAAGCGCATACAGGAGTAAGACAAGCTGGCTGGCTATTATCACCGGTGATGTTCTTAATTGTGGTAGACTGGATTATATGTCAAACTGTTGGGGACGAGGAGTCAGGATTACGCTAGATGACAGATAAGAAGACTCTAGAAGATCTGGAATTCGCGAGTGGATGATTCATGTTTTTAATGTCACAAAAACTCGAAAACTTGCAAGCTAAAACAAGACTGTAGGTGAACACAGAGAAGACGAATGTGGTAAAGATTACCAATCAACAGCAACAACAACCAGCACCACTCACCATAGAAGGGAAAGATTTAACAGAGGTTACTTCCTTCACCCATATAGGAAGCACGATTTCAACCACAGGTCGAACGGATGAGGATGTCAAAGACAGCCTGAATAGAAAATGCAAGATCCGCCTTCATCAATCTAAAACCAGTTTGGAGGAGATCGTGTGAGGAGGAGATCAGAGATTATAATTAATCGTGGACGCAGCTGAAGAGGACGGCGGAAAACGGGACAAAGTGGCGATATGTTGTTGAAGCCGTATGTTCTACTTGGTACGCAAGGTAATAATAATAAGACAAAATACTTAAGATTTCAGAAAGTTAGAAAATACCAGTGTATATAATTGCCTATATTAAGTTATGAATTGTCGATGACTCAATTATCATCAATAAATAACAGTCTACCGACATAGTAATAGACAATGACGTCCTATGCTTACAAGAGTTCAGGTATTAGTGCAGCGACTGAAAACAAGAGAATAGGCAACGGACCTTTGTATTAAGAAAAAACACATCATATTTATACATTCTTAGCTAAATTAAAGTTCGTCTAGACTGCAGGAGAATACATTGTTCTGAATGGTTGGAATTTGGCTCAAGGTTAAACAAGTTGTCCAATGGGGTTACTTCATGTCCACAACTTAATTCTATCTTCAAATTTGAAGAATAAACACTTCTACCTCTACAGCCATTGACCCAAAATATCGATTTCAACTGTTGACCGCTTCCTATCAGTGTGCATCACATCATATTAGTATTCCTTCTCTCTTTTCTCTACACACCAAGGCTGAATAATCTTGTGAAATACATTTACTGGTTAGTTGCTAATTATTAGCAAAGACCAACGGTTTCATGAAATGACGTCACTGTTTTGGTTCTGATCACTCTTTGAAGAAAGAAGAAAGGAAGGTGGTAACCTGATGTTTGCAAAGATTTGACTGACTGCTGTAAACTATGGAAATTAGTGGACCGGCTAACTTTTATCTCACGATTAAAGATATTCGATTTTAACTCCACTTAACCTTCAGCTCAACATTATATCAGCAGAGAACTGTTGAGATGAAAATCCATTCTTGAATAATTGGGTAGATCAAGACATATAAACGAACATTATTGTTTCCAATTACGATCTTCTTCAGGCTTTACTCTAATTTACATAGATTTATATATAAAAATGTTAACCAGTGATAGTGAGTTTGTGGATGAAATAATAATAATAATAATAATAATAATAATAATAATAATGTTTACGAGTTTGACCACGGATTGATATCAGTTAGAGAACCATTGAAAACCAAGGAGTACTGTTAGATAGATGTTTCATCCTAGTTGGGGAATCGTCGGCAGCACGCACCCACCTCAGGGATTCGAACCCAGGACCTTTCGGTTACAAGACAAGCTCCTATACCATTCAGCCACTGGGACTCGATTAAATGGTCAGCCGATGAATTCTAAGTTTTGCTAATTCCTGATATTTACTGCGAACACCAACCAATGTCATCGGTGGGGCATCCATCTTCACACCTGACTGGGTGGACCTCACTGGTCACGACTTCTCAATAGAACTTCTCCAGGAAACGCCGTCCTGTAGCAAGTCACTAGCTAGCCTCAGATTCATTTTCAAGGGTTGGTTGGGGGTTTGAACCCTAGTGGGTGCGTACTGCCGATGATTCTCAAACTAGTGGGACGAAACAGCTGTCCAGTACTCCATACTGCTTTTCAGTGGTTTTCTAACTGATATCAATGCGTGGTCAAACTCATGAACATAAATCTAATCCTTACAAACCAACTCTTGAAAATAATAATGTGTTTAATGTTTTGAACATCAGCATTAATGATGATTATAATGGCAACAAAACATTGATAGTAAAGTTTATCAGGTGGCGATAAGAATAACAAAGGTAATAATATGGGTGTGTATATGTAGACAATTCAATAAATAAGTAATTTGGCCAAATCTTAAACGTTACCTAATACTAAAAGTGAAGTGAACAGATAATCAGAATTAAACAAAAAATCATAAAAGTACGAAGGGAATGGGGAATAAGAAAGGGTGGGATGGTTCTGACTAGAATTTACCTAGATCAAGGGAGAGACAAAGGCAGAACAAACTTCTTTTGTATGCAAAGACTAGGATTGTTCTCTCGAATTAATTCCCATAGCTTCGGCTATGTGTAGAAGGCGGGTTCGAATTCCATTCGAAAGGCTCGATGGAATGCGATAGATAACTTTGAAGGCACTTCTGTTCACTTTGTGACCACTGTAGGTCAAATGAGTCAAAATAGAACTTCTCATAGATTTTACTAATGTGGAAAACATTTACCACATTATTATTGTTATTACAATTTGATCCACAAACTCACCGTCATTGGTTAAAATTTTTATATTTAAATCTATGTAAATTAGAGTAAAGTCTGAAGAAGATCCTGATTGGAGACAAAATTGTTCGCTTATATGTTTTATTCTAATATTCATAATGGAAACATTTAAAGATTTGAAATTAGGTGCATGTCATCATGCAACGACAGAAGACAAGAGTCAGGCAACAGATCCTTTATTCAGAAAATCAACACATATTTATAGATTTTTATGTACATTATTATTCGTTACTTTAGCTGAGAAGAAACGTCTTCTGATTGGTTGTTCTCTTGCTGAAGGTTATTCTATCATCTCTTTGTGACCGTTTCTCAGAAAGTTAAGCCACATATCTGCGAATCATATTTGCACACGTTAAGTCTGATGTAACTGGTAGTTTGGTCCTTCAAGATTCTTTTCAAGGTTCTGTTCTTGCTATTTCTAATGACCCCGATTCGGGACATTAACATAGACGTAAATTGTTGCTTGCAATTTTGGCTTGCAGGCAGCTGTCACTACAATCACACTACCTTCAAATGTGAAATTTCGACACTAACAATCAGTTCACTATGTAATGAAATATTCCGTGAACAAAAAACAACTGACCAATTTATCCAGTAATTTGGATCTCTATCCTTAACATTAGAGGGGGTGCACACAAGTGACCTAGAAATACTGATATTTCTGATCAGGTTATTCAAAAGTCTCTCTGCATATATTTGTCAGCATCTTCATGTAGAAGAATTATTGTCATCTGTTTACTCAGTAGGGAGGAAATAGTTTACTGATAACAGTTCAACTCCCATCCTTATGTTTTAGTGAAGAATTAAAAGACATTCCCTATCATAGGCATATCATCAGTACTGGTTAACTGAAAAACATCTTCATGTTGTGATTTAAGGAAATCCTCAGTGATGTAATCGTTAATACACTCGGCAGTTGCCCTAACGAATTTTCTACCTAGTCGATTCACAAGCCGATTGTTCTAACCACTATTAGCAACAACAGCGAAAACAACAACACGATACGATACCATCGAAAACTCGACCCAAGAAGACAAGAAGAGAAGACAGACCGTTGACGTGGAGAGCTTTAACTGTCTCGTATCAGCAGTCCAAATGGCTGACAGCGCTTGTGTAGATATAAGCTTTGAATGACCCTGAGAGATACTAGATAAATTGATAAATTAAAACAATCAACAACCAATAGGATTTCAAGGTCATAAGTGGGGTGAGGGATTTACGACCAGCAATGTTTAAATACATGTAGTATTTTAGGGAATTTGTTTTATCAGTCTAGATAAACTATAGAAATTGAAATATTTAACCGAAAAGGTTTACTTCGAAAGAAAAAAGTCATACAAATCCAGTAAAAACCTCACCTTCACTCAACAAAATTTTTAATATTTGACATAAATTTTTCAACCAGTCCGATGGGGATATAAACTTCTCGGAGTGATGATGATAGTTTATTTGAAGACAGCATTCTTTTAAACACCATTTAAGATTCATTAAAGAATTCATTATTTCATTCCAAACATGTTCAAATTGACTGTTTTGAGTATAAAGAAATAATAACATTATGTCTTTAAAACGAAACTAGGCACGTAAGTTAAAAAGCGCGCTAAAATTTATGATTACTATTATTAATAAATGTATTCATCTATGACGTTTGGTTGCTTATATAAATTCATAGATTTGATTGGAGGATTTCATCAGGACCCTACATCAATTAGAGAACCATTGGAAAAGCAACAGGGACTACTGGACAGTTAACGGTTTCGTCCCGCTTTGGGACTCTTCATCAGTACGCACTCACCGGGTTTTCCAATGGTTCTCTAACTGATGTCAGCTCATGATAACATCCTCCAATCTAATCATTCATTGGGAAATACAAAAACCTTTATTATATTGAAAAACTCACAGATAATTAAATTCCAACATAATGCTTTTGCAATTTCGAGGCCCTGGGAGTCAATCCCTAATGTGGAAGTTGATGTGTACTCCTCCTGAAGAATCTCATGCAAGGTCAAAGCAGTCATTCAGCACTACTATTATCACTAAATATCTTCGTTATCCGATTAATTCAACCTAAGCTTTTCTTTTGCAATCCCTGTTAGTATTTTTTAAACTTATATATTCTTTAGATTATGGGTTTTTCATAGGGAGTTGCAATAACTTCAATGCAGATTTTGACAAAGACCAATATCAGCTACAGAGATCATTGAAAGCCGGGGAGGTTTAAGTGACTGTTTGGTCCCAGTATAGTGGTAGTCTTCATCAGCGTACACCTATTACCCTACAAGGGATCGAACCCAGGACCTTTGGTTTATGAGTCTAAGTTCGTTGACCATTCAGCCACTACGTCAGGGATTCAGTGACCCGCGGATTTCAACTTTGTCAATTCATGATATAGCGTCTTCGATTAGTATGTATGCCTTGATCATAACATGGCTAAATAATCAAACAGCTTGGTTTCTTAACCTGAAAGTCCCAGTTCCGATTCCTTTTGGGGTTTCGCATGTATACTGATGAACAGACAGGAAACTCCTTCATCAACCTGAAAACAGTTTGGAAATATTCTTCACTCAGCCGGTATGTCAAGTTGATCCTTCTATATGGGTCAGAAACTTGGCCAGCGTATCACGAAAAGGACTTCCAACAAACAGCTGCCTTCACCACCTACCTACTGAAGATCAAATGGCCAGAAAGAATAAGCAACAAGAAACTCTGGATAGGAACAAACCAACATGCGAGATTCGATCTTTCAAAAAATATGTAGGAGAAAGTGGTGATGGATAGGGTATACATTGAGGAGGCCGTCGAATGACATCGCACGCAATGCAGGCCATCGCTCAAGTGGAATCCAAATGGGAAGCGATGAGTGAGTCGTCAGTGCAATGATGACATGGAGGAGATCGTGTGAATTGGAGGAGGTAAGAGATAATGGGCAATCGTGTTTAACCAGCTGAAGAGTTTGGCAGAAATTAGAAGAAAGTGGAGATGTGTTGTAGAAGCCGTATGTTCCACTCGGAACCCAAAGGAGCAATAATAATAATATAGTAGTGAATGTCATCCGTGGCGAGTATTTGTCCTCACACTCGACCTTCTGTACCCCACTGGTCACGACTTCCCACATATTCCTCTAATCAACCATAGAATCTACTTTTTATTCACAAACACCACCTCACTCCGCTCTATATTTCATTTACAAAATAATATCAAATTTTTAGCAACAAAATCTGTTACACTAACTTGTCTTCTTTTATTGGAAAATGCTAAACTTACTCCTTATCAGGTAAAGTGGATAGCTCATTGTTTATTTGACATCTTGTGGTATAATCAAAATATGTACAAAGTTCAGTTGAATTGAAAAATATCTCAGATAACCTTGAGAAAAATAAAAAAATTTGTGTAAATATAAAGTTCAGAAAAAGAATAATAATTCCATATTTAAAAAAACACACAATAAACTGAGAGAAGAAATACGCATTCCTTTCCAGTTAGCTCCTCATCATCAGCTCTACACTGATATATGGAGTCTTTTTACGCCAAAATTGTACCAATCAAGGAGGTGGGGAGTGAAATTAAGAGGTTAAAGGTTGGCAAAACAGTTAACTAATAGATGTCACTAACGATGTCAGTAACACCTCCCTCACCTATGAAGTAACAAAATCAACACAAATGTGATAAGCAAGTTCACTATGTAAACACACACCGCCTTTATAATTTTAAACGCTGATCAAACCCAACAATCTACACTTGATTTTGATTTTATTATCTTTACCAACTGGTCAATTTGACTGTGAAAAATGACCCCAGATTAACGAACGATGATCAAGTTAGTAAACTTCATTTTGATACTATAACAGACATACTATTACCTTTGTTATTTGGTTTAGTGATCTTCATTGGTATTTTGACTTTCAATATGTCCTTTTAACTTGACCTAAGTCTATTTTCTCACCCCTTAACTCTTTGTTATATATATGCTGAGATTTTGTAAATTCCGGTTTAATATTACTAATTTGATAAGGCTGTTAGCAGCATTAAATAGCAAAATGTCAGTAAACACAACAGTATCGTTTTGTTTTTCATCCATTGGGAAATACAAGTAAACCTTTTTTATAATGAATATCATATACCCAATGCCCAAATTTTTTCAAACTGTGAAAAGTGAACTTGGTTTGGACATATATAAGTTATTCAAGTGTTGGTTTGCACGGATTTCATTGGTTTCAGGAATTCTCCATGAACTGACAGGGGTTAGATGATCATTGGAAATCCTGAAGTACTGGACATCTTTCTCGTTAAACAGTCGTGGCCCATGATCAGTGGGATATAGCAGGTTAGGTGTGAGAGAAAGTATTCGCCACGGATAATATTGGCTAGCTGCAGTCACGTTATATCGTAAATTTGCAGAAGTCTAAATTGATGCACTAACCATTGGATTGGGTCCCAGTGGATTAATGGTCTACGACCTCGCTTTGTAATCAGAAGGTTTTGGGTTCGAACCCTGACAGTGAGTATGTACTGATGAAGAGTTCCAAACTAGGATGACGAAACAGCTGGTTGTCCAGTACTCCCAGGTTTTCCAATGGTCTTCTAACCAGTATCAGTTCATTGTGAAATCCTGAAAGAAACAAGTTAATACAGTTAGCTAGAACTGTAAAAATAACAAAGACAAATGATAGTTACAAAAAAGGTGGGGAAAAATCAGTTTTTAAAAAATTAATTTATATTATGTAGTTGGCCATCGCGAAGAAAAGGGAAGATACACATTTCTTTTGAACACACATAAATTTGGCTTGTGCAGATGAATTCCAATTGTCCCTCTGCTGTGTGTCAAAGTCATACTACTAGACCGTGTGAAAGGTTGGATGAAATAAGTTGAATAAGTTTAAAAGCTTTGTTAGAATCGAGCATCTACGAGATGAGACAGTATTGAGCTGTGTATAGCAGCTTTATTCGGATCTATGGCAAACCTAGATTGGAGGAAGTGTTCAGAAATTCGACGATTAACTTACCCTATTCCTAAAACTGACTGACTAAAGTAACCACTTGACTGGTAAAATACAACTATGTATTAATGTAGAACCAATTATGAGGAACTGACTGAATAGGAATATATTTCTTCGTTCAATCTGTTGTTTTTTCTAAACTCCATATTATATGAGTTGATTTGATACAATGCAAAGTGACGTATTAATATTCTATAGTTTGGTTTCTAAGGGTTAGTTATGTTTTTACGAGTTGATCAAGGCTTGATATCAGTTAGAGAACCATTAAAATCAAGGAGTACTGGACAGCTGCTGTTTCATCCTAGTTTGGGAATCATCGGCAGTACGCACCCACCACAAGGGTTCGAACCCAGGACCTTCCGGTTACAAGGCAAGCTCGTATACCATACCGATTCAGTGACCAACCCATGAATTCTAACTTCTACCAATTCGTGATTTAGCGCAACCCCTAGTGGGTGCGTACTTCCGATTATTCCCAAACTAGGATGAAACAGCAGCTGTCTAGTACTTTCTGGTTTTCAATGGTTCTCTAACTGATATCGGTCCGTGATCAACTCGTAAAAAATACGTATTATTAATAACTTGATGACATTTTGATCAAATTCTATGCCTCATTTGCTCATAATCATATCAATTTGTTCACACGGCTACACCAAAAAAACAATCAAACTGTTACAGAAACTTCAAAAATAGAAATACTAAAAATACCGAGAATATAAAAACCAAACTTATTCATTGGTGGAATCGTAGAGGCGAAATGACACAGAGAGCTAGAGGTAAAAGCCTTCAAGAAGTCAGTCAATCAGTTAACTGATGTGTCTTCTCTCGATGAAAGCAAGAATAAGAATGGGGACGTGGAATGCACGTATAATGTAAGAGGCTGGGAAGGCTGCCCAGGTAGTCGAAGAAATGCGAAGATATGGTATACAAGTGCTGGGTATCTGCGAGAGCAGATGGAATGTCTAAATTGTCAACTGGAGAGTCAGTAATCTACTCAAGTCTGGTAACTCAGACGACAACCATGAGCACACTGAGGCAGTGAGTAGCTATCATGATGTCACCAGTGGCAGCCAAATCCCCAATGCAGAGGGAACCGATTTCATACTGCAGGATAGTCACAGCAGGATTCAACTCAAAAGGAAGGAAGGAAGGTTACAATTGTCCAATGCTACGAACCTATAAATAACTCAGAAGAAGAAGAGAAGGTAGATTTCTGTAGACAACTGCAAACAGTAATGGACAAAATCCCAAATGGTGACATCAAAATACTTATCGGCGATATGAATGCCAAACTGGGAGCAGACAATGCATGAAGAGAACTTATCATGGGTCAAGAGGCTCTCGCTCGGAGAAATGAATGATAACGGAGAACTCTTCGCAGACTTCAGCACCCTAGGTGATTTGGTGACTGGAGCCAGTGTGTACAAGCACAAGAATATACAAAAAGCAACATGGATTTCTCCTGATGGACACACCACAAACCAGATAGATTTCATCTCAAAGCTTCTCAGGAAAGTGGAGACGTAGCCCGCCGGACACAAAGTTGAGAAGGAGATCAGATGTGAGTTCAGAATATTATCTAGTTCAAGGAACCTTCAAGGTGAAGCGCAAATCCTTCAGGATGACTGCAGACAGACCACAATTCAAGTTAAATAGTCAGAAACTGTTGCACAAAACTACAAGGGATACCCCCACTACGGAAGAGATCACAGCAAAGTTGGAGACACTACATGGTATCACTGAGGAAACCTGTGTGGGAGATGATGTTTTCCTGTGCGTCTTCATTCATTTTTGAATAAATTCTGATGGATGGTTATTCACCACTAGTGTAATAAAGAAGAAGAGTAACAGTAATAACATATTCAGTTGTTGGTTTGCAGGGATTTGACCTGTTACAGGATTTCATCATGAGCCGACATAGGTTTGAGGACCGTAGGAAAACCTGAGAATGCTGGACAACTGCTTCATCTTAGTGCGCGGGATTCTTCATCAAAATGTACCCATTACAAAGGGGTTTGAAACCAGGATCCTCCGGTTACAAGGAGGGTTCGTAGACTATTAAGCCACTAGGACCCAATGAAATCTTCCAACCAATCAAACAAACAAACTCCCTACCAAAAAAACCAATACTTGAAAATAACTTTGTCTTCTGTTACCCGAGGTTTCCATACCTTTAAAGATGTTTGGTTTCCTAAATGAGGACAGCTACTTCCACTCCACTTCCAACCTTCCCTCTTTTCAAGGCTTAAGACCAACTAGTTAAACTACGAGCCTACGAACAACTCAAAAACTTTCATCTCCCAAAAAATAAACTACTAAACTTCAAAAATATTCAATCACTCAATTTAATAATATTAATTAAAACTTACTTTTTAACACTTGATAAATCCAAAGTAAAATAAATTTGATTTGAATTAAACCATTTAGTTAAGCAATGTAACAAATTTTCACCGTGAATTAAAACACAACCAACTGAACATTGGTCATCACTGCTATTATGTTGATTTAAAGATAATGCATCGAATAAATTTAAACATTGCTGTACACTTTTATGCGTATTATTCAAATACAACAAATCATTAATCAATTTTCGATGGATATCATTAAGCTGGCGCAGACTTATCCATTTCATTGAAATAATATTAATAGAAGATTGATTAGTTTCATTGAAATCAATAAGATATTGAAGAAGATTAGTGAAATGAAGAATAGGATGTAATGATTTGTTTATTTCATTACTATGGTGACCAGTTTCATTTTGTGGCACAACATTTAAACATGGTATACACAATATAAAACTAAGGGATTCACAATCTGGATAGGCTGGATTCTTATTGGTTGATAAGTTTAGTTGACCTTGACTTGTTACATTCTCTTCAGTATTACTTATAGGTAGCTAAAAAATAAGAATTATACAAGAATATTAATTCAGGCTGCACTAACGATAGGATGAGATACATCACACTAGTTAGTTATTAGTGTCCAATGAAAGTTTTCAATACAGACCTACAGGAGGTCAGTCGCGAGCCTGAATAGCTCAGTGGTAGCATCTCTGACTGCAGCACTGAGTGAGGCGGGTTCGAGTCTCTTTCAGAAGGGACATGAGTTGAGTTGCTGACGTGTGAAATAAGCACGAAACCTAAGTCAAGCAAGGCTTCCTGTGGCCGATTGCCTCCAACCATCTAATATCAGTAATTTAAGCATTTTGAAAATCAAAAAATTGGAATACTTTAAGACAATAAAAACAAAAGAACATTACAACAACAACAATGATTGAACACTGTTCAACTTACGTAATTCAAATTATTCAGCGTAAAGATATTAACAGTTTGTGAATCAAGAAACTGTAGGTGAATGAAGACAGTTTCAGGATTATCTGAAAAGGAATAAAATAATACCATAAATGTTTGATTATCCTAAGTGTCAGGCATTTTTCAAAGATATTTAGTACTGCCTTCTATGTTTGGTGAGAGCTGTCTGAAAGCCAAAATTGTAGACAACAATTTACGTCAACGTTTACGTCCCGAATCCGGGTCATGAGAAAAAACAAGAACAAAGCCTAACCTTGAGGAACTCAACAACCAATCACAGCAGACTTAGTGTGCGCAAATACAATTCGCAGATATATGGCTTAACTTTCTAAGAAACGGTCACAGGCAGTACAGAATAACCTTCAGCCAGAAAACAACCAATCAGAAAACGTTGCTTCTCTGCTAACAATAACAAAATAATAATATACATGAATATATATAAATATCTGTTGATTTTCTCAATAAACGATCTGTTGCCTGACTCTTGTCTTCTGTCGTTACATATGGAAATGATGTGAAATAAAATAAGTAGTTCAGCGAAGAGGCTCTTTTCAGAGAATTCATTCTCTCCTCTTTAGCTGTACAATCACATTTCAATTTAGAAAAAAAATCCCCATTTAGACATTTAGAAAACAGAAAGATTGAGAGAAGAAATATTTACTTTTCAATTAGATCCTCCCTCATCTCACTCTGGCTCTACTCTAATATACTATGTATAGCATTTTTATTACAATACACAACAATTTACCAATCAAGTGGCACTGATATGTTTGTTAACAATAATTAGTCAGTATCAACATGTCAAATAATGGGGTGGTAATTAACGAAGAAAATTAATACACACATTTAAAAGGTAGAAATGGTTAGAATAAATTAATTTTACAAGGATAACACGTAATTAAAGATGAAGTGGTCAGAAAAAATAAAATAATTTGGACAATTATACTTTTTATAATTTTTAAACGTTTAGAGGAAGGGGGCGAAGTCGTCCGGTTCATAGTCACGTAACGATGGCCAAGGTAAGGAAAGTGGCTGTACAAATTTCTTCTGAACACACACAGGTTCGGCTTATTCTTCAGGTGGATTCCTATTGCTTCAGCTGTAGGTATGTAGAAGACGAACTCGTAGAGCGAAATTAAGATTAGTAGGAATGCGATAAATAATTTTAAATGCTGTATTAACATCAACCTTATGCTCACTATCTACAAGGTGTGCTACAATACAGCTACGGATAGATTTTGTTTGTCCCTTGATTAACCATGTTGGATGATGTTCGGAAATACGATGATGAACCTGTCTAGTTGTACGCCCAATGAAGCTAGCTCCGCAGCTGCAGTCAAACAGGTAGATACACATAGAGGAGGCAAATTTAGGTAGTTTATCCTTATTTCTCGAAAGTAGAATATGGGTGGTTGTGAAGAGACAACATCTGTATACAACCTCCTATTCATGAATGAGGGTAGTGATAAAACTGATGAGTTGTCACAAGTATAGTTGTTATTATTAGTCAATACATGAGTTGAATAAGTGTATTAGAGTTACATGATAAGAGGAATAATTCAATGGATGAATTTTAATCAGGATGCACATGAAAACGAAGGAAGAATATGGAACTGCGAAGAGTTATAAAGAAATAAACGATTTCAAGGCGACACTTAATCTACGACATGCTTAAGAGAAGAAATTCGTCATCTTTGAGAAGTATGTTATTCGCAGCAACGCTAAGAATAGAATTCTCCAGTCGGCCATTGTTCTGTAAAAGCCGCAAGGACAAGATCTCGCATTTGACCACTTCTATGTGCATACATTGACTAACCTGTTCCTGTGGAGCCAGGCAGGTAAATTGGTCGTTCGACGCGTATGGTTAAAGGAAGACAGTAGTGTGGCTCTATAAGGAGTTCGATAATCGAAAACCTTGTCGATCGACACTGGTCATTCCATCTCAACAAATGCCTCTTTCAAAGCGATTTACAAAGTGAAGCATAATTCACTATTACCACTCTCAGATGTTCCTTTTGTAAATTTTCTCACTCTCTCTTCACACTTGTTAAATGGATACTCAACTGCCTTTCTTCGCACTCAGTGATAATTTAAACTTATCAAACTTCTAACTGTTTATTCTTTTGTGCCGTTGAGCATTACGTAGTATTTTTGATTTTTTACCTCAAATTTTGAGGCCACTTCTGAGTTATTATATATCAGTTAAATCACCCCCCTACCTATTACTCAATAGTAGACTAGTGTACGTTAATAGTAAGTATCAATACGACTGTACAGCTTGTGAAGATGATTTCGTCGATAAAGAAAATTTTGGTTACAGGATTTCATTATGAGCTGACATAAGTCAGAGAACCATTGGACAACCAGCTGTCAGCACTTGACGGCTGTTCGTCCCAGTTTGGGGCTCTTCATCAGTACTCACCCACCGGGGCTTGAACCCAGGACCTTCTGGTTACAAGGTGGATGCGTACTGATGAAGAGTCCCAGACTAGGACGAAACAGCTTTTCAGTACTCCCAGCTTGTTTTCCAATGGTTCTCTAACCAATGTCAGCTCGTGATGAAATCCTGTAACTAATCAATCAAACCAATACTTGAGAGGAAATTTTCTTTGCTGAATTGTCGTTAATTTTTTTATATTTTTCATTCAAATTTTCTGTATTCTTGCTTTCTTAACAAATCTCGTCGAAATTAATTAAGATGTATTCTGGAATATTAAATTAAAGCAGATCAATCTATGACAATGATTCACAAAACACTGATGAATTATTAATGGGAATCTGTGATCAGCGGGCTCTGGGTAGTTCCGGCGTGAGGACCAACACTCGCCCATGACATTAGCTGGAGGTTGCGCTACATATATCACGAATTGGTAGAGATCAGAATTGATAGGAAGACCAGTACCTATTGACTGTCTTCAAAAAGAATGAACACACAAACACTTTCATCAAAAAGTGTTTAAACTCGAGTCGGAACACCAACAAAAAGCCGTCATTAAAGACTACAAGAAAGTTCACTCTACCATATATAAAGAATATCTCTGAAACAACTAACAGCTAAAATAGATATAAGAATAAAACTTGTGCACTGTGGTAGAATGTAATGCCATTATGGGTAAATTCTGTTTTGATAAAGTCTCAAAGTGTTATACAGTAATGTTTACTGATGACGTTTCGAGCACAATTTATTGCTGCTCATAATCATATCAAGGTAATCACACGACTTCCTAAATTCATTTATATAGTTCCATTGTTTTTCACTTGATTTGATTGGTAGTATTATTTTCCATATTTCGCGTATGAGTGATGATTCATTCCTATTGCATGTGTTGGGTGTAGATTCGATGAACAAGGATTCAGTAATCAACCTCTATCTCTCCACCTACCTAGATTACTTTCTAGAATTTTAACCCTCCCCAACCACCCTATTGTGTGGTTATGTGTTAATGCGTGCATTGCAATTGCTAAGAGGTTGATTACTGAATCCTTGTTCATCGAATCTACACCCAACACATGCAATAGGAATGAATCATCACTCATACGCGAAATATGGAAAATAATACTACCAATCAAATCAAGTGAAAAACAATGGAACTATATAAATGAATTTAGGAAGTCGTGTGATTACCTTGATATGATTATGAGCAGCAATAAATTGTGCTCGAAACGTCATCAGTAAACATTACTGTATAACACTGTGAGACTCTATCAAAATAAAAATTTACGCATAATGGGATAACAGCTAAAATACTAAGACCGTTTTACATAAACATAGTACATAAGCCAACACAATCACTTCACTCAATATTGTATAGACCGAAAGATCCAGCAGCGAAAGAAGATAAATTCAATACCACCTACAAAATAAACTGCGACAAACACTTCATCGGTCAAAGTGGGTGTCTACTTCGTGTCCGACTCCAAGAAGATAAGTTAGCTATGAAAGGACACGATACACATTCTTTCGTATCGATCCATGTGTGGACAATTCCTGCACGAATTTGACTGGGATAATATAAAAATTTCAAACAGAGGAAACACCAAAAATTATTAATATTCCCTTGGGTTCCGAGTGGAACACAGGGCTTCAACAACACATCTCTAGTTTCTTCCATTTTCTGCTGTCCTCTTCAGCTTGGCCCACGATTGACCATAATCTCTCATCTCCCCCTCGCTCGATCTCCTCCATGTCACCTTCGGACAATCCACTTATCGCTTCCTATTGGGATTCCACAAGAGAGCCTAGCGCAGAATGCGAGAAAATTTATGGAAGGCGATTAACAAACATATTACTGCAGTTTAAAACAATTAGTCCCCTTGATAAATTTGAATAAGGCATTAAGAAGACAAATTTCGCGAGATGATATCATTTCGTAGTTTCTTTACAACCGCTTTACAACTGCTTTACAACTAACATGGTTAACACTAATAAAATAAAGTTCATCACTATTACTCAGTTATTCAAAAAACAAAAGTACATACTGATGACCAATCATATTTAGATAGGTCAAGTAATCCATGGTAGGCGAAGGCTAAAGTCTACTGTTTTTGTACACACAGTTTAGGCTGTATGTGATTAATCCAAAGTGCTTCCATCACCTTCCATAAGCAACCTTGAATTAGAGTTATGTGAAATAATTGTAAAACAGTCATTAATATTGATTTTGTGACCTGACATTAATAAGTGTTTTGCAATGGATGATGTTGGATTTCTATTCAGATTACTGGCATTGGGATTTTCTATATGCTTTAGTTACCATTTTGGAACATGTTCTTTTCGACGACATTGGAATATTCTGTTGGTTCTCGGTCGGTCGGTCGGTTTTCGACATAGAACTTTGCACATATGTGCGGCAGTTCAAGTCGCCACACTCCCTCCATATAGCACACAAAGCAAGAGAAGAAAGTAGAAGAAATGCATAACATAGACAGTAAACAGAGGTGAGAGACAAAGTTATAGTAATAACGAAGAACAATATAGTTTCATTGGAAATCATAAGTCACAAGGAGTGGATGCATCTGAGCCAGCCAGCCACTGAGAACGATTTTGAGCCATTTCACCAATTGT